TACAAATTGAGTGGTTTGCATTTGATCGCTCCCATATATATATCACGTCAAACACTTAAAATATTGTATGCCTAATACATATCAAGTCAAACAATTCAAGTCATACAAGCAACATAGTCTAATACATATCAAGCCAAATAGTTCAAACCACACAAGCAAACATAGTAATAGAGTTTATAAAGCTCATAAACAACTAAACGAGCTAATTGCAATCCATAGGCTTGACATCTAAATCCACATCATTAATTTGTTTCTTTTTATTAGCAGGCTTCATCTTAAATAGCCCACACCAAAAGACTAAGTTATTGTTTTAAGTTTAGTCCAAAAAAGTCTCCAACGAGATAGCGTTATAGCGGACCGCTATTTGGAAGCAAAATAGTTGTAAATAGTGGTAATAGCGGCCGCTATTTGCGGTACCCCTATTTAGACTGCAAAACCTGGATCGCTATTTGATTGAGGACCTCTATTCAATATGTCGTCGCTATAACGCACAATTGATTGCGCAGTTTTGGGAACGAGATTGGCTTTATTTTATTGGGTATTTGGATTGCGCACCGAGTGTTTGAAGAAAGTCGTAGGTGAATTCATATTCTTTTATTGGATGGTGAATTCTTAATGTTACTTTGTTGATTAAGTTCTCGTCTTTTAGTTTTTACTGCCTAGTTATAAAGTTTCGGTTTTTATTTGTTTAGTAGTCTAATACGACTCTCAATGCCAATGATTTTGAAAGTAGTGTATTTGTGCTAATTAGCTTTCGTTTTTGGGTCTTGAGCTTTAAGTGAATAAATTGAGTAGTCAATCTTTTTGACACGCGTGAATTTGAACAATAGGCTAGCACAAGTAACCGCAATCTTTATTTAGCAGTCTAATACGACTCTTAATCCCAAGTAACCATAATCTTACTTTAGCCGTGAGTGTGAACCATAGGCTAGCACAATTTTCTTTTTGCATGACCAACACATTCTATAACTAAGATCAATACGACTTTCAAGTAATTGTATCACTCGTTTTGGCATATTTTGTCTCACTTTGCCTTTTCTCACATTTGCTTCAACATTGGATTTTTTTTCAATTATTGGCACTTTTTGTTGCAAGCATACATCTCCTCCTATGGGACATTTGTGGTGTTTAGATCCAAAACATGGCATATTTTTCTTTTAAGAGTTTTGCTCCTTTTGTTTTGATCTTTTGGCCATGTTGGTACCCCTCCCCCAAACTTGTACTGTACAATTTCCTCATTGGATTCTTGTACTTCAGTAGTACCTTCATATATAACACATAGTGTCCCATATGGATTTCGAGATTTTGAGCTTCATCACTGAGTGATATACCTCGTCAGAAAGAGACATGACTATTATAGACCTCGCACGAGTGTCTAAAGTCATCTTCTTCTTGTCTTCATCACTCCATTGATGAGGGAGCTTTGGAATCTGCCGTTCAGGAAGTGCGACAGTCGTAGCAGTTGCATGAACTGTTGGAGAGATAACATATGAAACATAAGGTCCATTTTCTATATAGTATGGAATCTCATGATCCACACCTTCAAAGAATAAAGACATCCGATTTTTCTAGAGACTAAAGTTGTCTCTAACGAAACCAAGAGGTTTGGCAAGAGAGTCATTATCGTGAAAGTGAGTGCTGGTGTTTTGTAAAGCCATTTATAAAGGAATAAATTATCTAGAGAAGAAAAGATAATAATATACTAATAAAGCATCAAAACAACATAAAAAGAAAACGTTGCTATGATACACTTGTTTGTCCCAGCCGAATCTACAAACGTTATAGGTGATCAGTTTGTAGAAGGGGGGGGGGGGATGAATACAAACACATAAACTTTCACTTTTAAAAATTGTATATTGATAAAGAAAGATCAATACAATTTTTACAGATTGTTTGCGAAAAAAGATAAAGTAAAAAGACCTATCTAAATAATCTAAGGTTCACACAATTACAAAATAGCAAAGAGAAAAGATTTGCTACAAATAAATAAGGAAATGTAAATGCTCTTCACTTGTTCTAAGTGGTTCTTTCTCTTAAGATGAAAGTAGAGATATGGAAGTATCTTCTCGAGTAAGTTTCTTAGAGATGAAGAAGTAATGGTAACTGAGTAGAGAGCACTTAGTTATTTATACCCATTGCATTTAATGTAATTCAAAATGTACAAAGCACGTCTCAAGCTTTTGGAGGAAAATTTTTCCTTTGCTACAATAAACAGTCCTTTTGGCTGTATATGAGCAGTCATCTTTTCATAAAGTAGGTAAGCACTATAGAGTCAATGGAGTGACTTTGTACTGTACTATACTCTAGAAAAGATATGAGCTTGTATAATGTGTGAAGGAGGACAAGACAAAAACAACCGTGCAAGACAAACTTCATTTGATCGATGAATGTTGGGATGACACTGGAGGGTCTCTTCAGCTTTCGCTGAAACTTGTGCAAACTTCACATATAATTAGACGAGCTTGTAATCACTAAATGTCGCTTCAGGTCACAAACGTGATGGTCTATAATCTTCAATTTCTGTCTTTGACATTGCTGAAGGTTTTTTGATGTGAGTTTTGTCTTCTTGAAGTATAACATTCTCTGAAAGAGTTACAATACATGTTCATCGATCACTGAACAGACTCAATGATGATCGTTGAAACTGAATAACATGAATTCTATAATTTGTATGGTAAAAGAGATCATCATCAAATCAATGAGAGAGAAGATCAATAACTTTTCATCAAACACCTTCTTTGCAATCTTCATATTTCTTTTAGACATTTCACCTGACACCTTCTTTGCAATCTCCATGTAACAAGTTCCAAAAATCTACAACAAATTGATAAAGATTTTAAAGAAAACTACAAAGATCAAGATGTGTGTATATCAATATATGTATGTGCATATGCATTCATGTATCAGGCGTCAATTTTTGGATGCTTCTTTTGGTGATGTCGATACTTTAGGTAGAGTGAGGTAGATGATAAGTTGCCTTAAAATCATATATTTACAAAACTAGAAAAGTTGGATAGCCACCAGCAAGCTAATTTATAAGGGGAGAAGTAGAGAAGCCTCATAAGTGTCTTCTTCTACAGTAGGCAAGATTGAGGGTAAATTATGGAAGAAGTGCCTCTCTGGATGGTATGGTTATGATCACAGGCTTAAGCGATTAAGATGGATTTTATATGATTCAAAGCCCCAAATATTTTTACCAAACAAGAATTATGTCCAGATGAATCAAATGGTCCCTCTTTATGGTTCCATTAAGAGATAAATAAACAACCCCTAACTCTTATTTTCGAATTCTATGGACGAAAACAACAACGAATCTTAAATCACAAAGACAAACAATAACAACTTATAAAGATAAAAACAACAATAATTTACAAAATCACTGAAATAAAAATCATAATTTCAATCACAAGGATGGTGCCTAATTGGTTTGAACTTGACTCCAAATGTCAAAAGTATAAGGAGGTCTCAGTTTCAAATCCAAATAGGAATAAAAATTCTTTTGTAGCCACGGAGGTTCAAATGCGGTGACTTCGAACTATCTACAAAGCAGGTGGTGGTCCTGAGATTAATCGACTCGCATATAGCGGGTTGAATATCCAAGTTAATAAAAAAAATCATAATTTCAAAATTATAAATAAACATACTATTTTTTATATTCCTATTTTTCCATATATAGTGTAGTATACATGGAGCTCATGATACATGCACGTGTACGGCTAGTTTTAAGAAGAGATACGACGACGTAGGGTCGACCTCGTTCCGTGTAGCAAATATCATTATTTACGTCTACTACTAGTGCCAAGGCATGTGTTTTATCTTCTTCAATCGGTGGATCGCCGTCGTCGTTGTCGTCGCTGCTAACTTCCACCGTCGCCGTTGAACTTAATACTATCCTCCCTCAGCTTTATAAAGTCTTCAATACCACCAGATCTGTATGCTTTCAATCAGAATAAGAGACGAAAAGAAAGGTCAGAAATTCAAGATGAAATCAGGTCAGCTTTTATTCCATAATATATTCTTTTATGCCTTTCAATCTTTGGAAATACACTTGCTTGTAATAATCTGATGTTTATTTTCGCCTTAGTTTGTGTTGAAGGTTAAGGATTTTGTGAAATCAAAATTTAGGGATCTATAAAATTAGATGGCCGATGACATGAATGATGAAATGGTTATGGATCTTGATTTGAATCAAGAACCTTTATTGGACCCGTCACCACCTCCTCCTTTTGGGTATGGGCCTTTGTTAAATGAACTGGAGACTGCACACGGTAGGATCGAGGACCGTATTAGGCAGCTTGAAGCGGTTACTGCTAGGGCTAGACAACGCCAGCGGTGGCGACAGGCTAGGAACAATCCGGAATTGAGTTACATGACTGTAATTGAACAAGGTGTTGGTGCAGGAAACGAGAATCAAGGGGGCAATGGTGTTGTGGGTGGGGATAGGGTTGTGGAGGGAATCGTAAATGCTGAAGAAAGGGCTGGTTATGAGAGAGGGAGGAACAGCAAAAGGGATATTAGCCAGTTGGCAAAAGCGTTGGAGATGGATTTGGATTCCAAGAAGACTGATAATGGTGGAGGTGGTGATGATGATAGTGGGGGTTTCTTTGATTGCAATATATGCTTCGATATGGCAAGAGATCCTATTTTGACTTGCTGTGGTCACTTATTTTGTTGGAGTTGTTTTTATCAGTTGTCATATGTAGATTCAAGTGCAAAAGAATGTCCAGTTTGCAAGGGAGAAGTGACTGATTCGAGTATTACGCCAATTTATGGCAATGGAAAGAATCAACCAGTCTTGAAGTTGGAGACTGGGGTGAAAATACCTCCAAGGCCTCGAGCTCACCGAGTAGAAAGTATAAGGCAGCAAAGGGTTTTCAGGGGGATCTCTCATATTCCTGTAGCAGAAGCACTTAGAAGGATTAGGATTGGAATTGGTTCTATTGGGGAAAACCCTCTTCTTCAAGGTCTTAACAGTGTGGGCCCCACTTCTGAAACCAATCCGTCGTTACACAGTTCAGAAGCAGGGGGTAGTCGTCGCCATCGTTCTCGCCACTTCTCTAGGGTAATCTCTGAAAGTGCTGCTTCACTTTCTTCCATTTCATCTGCGCTTAATAATGCAGAAAGGTTGGTTGAGGATCTTGAGACCTACATCAACGACCGTCTTTTGAGGAGGGTGGATGCACAGATTCTACCAAATAATCAAGAAAGGAACACATTTCTTGCCAGTACTGCTGATATTCAACCAGAGCCCCAGAATGCAGAGATGAATCTCACTGTGCCACTTTCTTCTTCTTCTTCTCAAAGAGCCGTTGCTACTACTGTTGTGCAATTGGATAACCTGTCAACCAGTAGTGCTGTAGAGATTGATCTGACCATATCACATCCGTCTTCGTCTTCTAGGAGAACTGCTGTTTCACGCACATTGAGTTTAGAAGGTGGAGCATCACGTGAACTCAGGAGAAGACGCTTGAGGTAATGTTCCTTAGAAATGAAATTTTCATTTTAATGGGGATGTACCCCGTTGCCTAAGATTTACCTTTAGTCATGTTTCGTCATTACATTAATTTTTCCACAGTGAACATGTTTTAGATGTCGAGAGTGCTGTCTTCCTTCTTTAGTGTTTTGTGTCATTCAGCATATCATATGTTTTATTGTGTTTAAGATTTGGAAAAGTGTAATACCTGATTTGTTGCTTATACGAAGTGCCCGTGTTATCACTGCTGATAGATACTTCACATTTGTTTATAAAGCTGCTATATAGTTGTATAGTTAAAATATTCGTGCAGCAGGTATTTATTTGCTCATGCCAGTTGTCAGTAATGTTTCTACAAATGTGTGAAACCATAGATATCTTATATGTGCCAAATGTTTTGACAAGGACTTCAATTTGTGATCAATAGGGAGCCATCTTGGTAATTTCATGGCCAAGGTTGTGGAGTTGTTTAAAAACTATTAACTCCATTTGCTGCTCCCTTTACCAATTTAGACCATCTCCAAAGGGGACACCAAATACCAAAATTTGATGCCAAATCACTCCAATGGGGACACCAAATAGTGACACCAATTTTGGTGTAACACTGTAACACCATTCATCTACACTAAATTTTACACCAAGGGGAAAAGATAAAAAGGAATATACCTAGAATCTTACATTTTGGTGTAAGATTTGGTGTTACCGATTGGAATATTATTGTTTGCACCAAATTTTATGGATTTGATGTAAGATTTGGTGTTACCTATTGGAGAGCCCTATTATATTCTCCAGAATATTCTCAGTTTGTGACCTGTGTGAAACTTTAGAATGTAGCATTACGATTTTTTTCCCTCATAATGTAGTATCTTTAGCTCCTAGTTTCTGCCTCGATATCTGATTACTTGCCTTGGTATTATAGTAAGCCATTGGAAGGATAATTGCCTTTTGAGGATAAAGATTAAACCATAGGGTTGCTAACATTTACCACCAGGTTCTAAAAGGCTGCCATGTTAACCTCCGTAACGGCTGTGTCAGATGAGGCATGCGCCATGGCGTCTTGAGGAGTGTTAATGGCGTGTGGCTTTTTGAAGGATTTCTTTACTTCGTTTCGCTTCTTAATTTTTTTTAAAGTTGGCCTTATTTCACCTTTTTACATTGTTTGTAATTGCCATCTCTCGTTATCATTGAATAATAGTAGAAAACTATGTGTTGTGTGTATTTTATATGATATACAAACATGTCACCTTTAAGCCAACGCCTTGAAAAATATCATGGTCTCGACGTGTGAGGCTTTGACCTTGCTTTCCATGCCTCATGCCGTTTAGAACTTTGATTTACTGTAACAATTATGAATGACTAATTAGTATTAGTATATTCATATTCTTTTGTTTTCTTTTATTGATTGATCATGCAAGTGATGCTTAAAGATGCCCTTCATAATGTTAATAATTTGCCATTCTTACGTAAGACGTCCTCGTTCCCCCAAGGCCTCATTACGAGATTGGCAAGAGAAGTCTTTGTACATTGCAAGTGGTTGTCTTGAGTTGATTCTCCTGTTGTTATGTGCTTAGGTTTAGCCTGCTCATTTGCAGGTGTGCGCAAGCTGACCAATCTTTAGAAACCTGACTCTTGGTTGAACCAGTTTAGGTTCAATTTGGTAAAGAAAACTAGCATGTAGGAGTTGTACTTTTTGTTTTTCTATTCTCAAGTTAAGAAGGGGTAGAAAGTAAGGATTCTTTTTCAGAAGGAAGATTGTTTCCTTCAATTCAATGAGGATGAGCATAGATTCCTTGGTCACATATTCAATTTTAATTTCTGATCTGTGTGTGTATTTGGATCTCACTAACACTTGTGGGGAAACCATGTCGTCCAATGCGGGTTCCTGATAGAAGTTCTGAGCTTTTGTTTCGATGTCGGAAGAATTTATTCAAGACTTGTGTTGGGCAAATAAGAAGAGTTATAATCTTGAAGTTCGGTTTGATGTAGACCAGTGTTGTAAAAGGCTCGTGACTTTACGTCTGTGGCACGGCATGATCCAATACGTGGTTTTTATAACCTTTTTAGTTATTAGCATATGACCTGATTTAAATTGTTTAATATCATTGGCTCATTGAGTAATAGTAGAAAACATGTGTCATGTGTATATATATACTAGAAGCGTACTCGCGCAATGCAGCGAGATACATCGTGATTTTAATATTTTATTTTATTTTTTATCTCAGTCGATGTTATAATATGGCTTTATGTGATTTTGAAATTCCTCATCAATTTTTTTATAATTTAATTTATGCACAATAACGAAGTTATATTTGATTTAATAATATAATTTTTTTT